GTTTCGTTGAAACGAAGTTACGGAATAAGTTAATTAAAAAAACGGAAACGTAACATATATTAGGTTATTTCCTACCTTTTATCTAATTTAGGTCTTAATAAAGAACTTCAAAGCAAGATCTAGCATATTTTTCATTTTTAATAGAGCATTCTACAATACTATTTGTCACTTTTAGGGTATTTCATTAATTTAGTAAAGCCTAACGAACTACGGAAAATTAGTATGCAAAAATAAAACGTCGTTTCAGCCCTGTCATAAGATTCTCATGTTTAAAGCACACCCCTCCTCCCTGTAACTTCCTATAAGCCACCTTGTGTACTTGAATGAGGGTTTCTCAGTGAACATTTCAATACTCTGATTGCACAGAAATCCATAGGCGTGCACCCGGCGACTTGACCTGTGTGTCGTCACATGGAGTAACATAAATACTCTCTAGCTTCTTCAGTTATGCAATGGGTCAATGGATATGTTGCAGAAAACATTGTGTACATGTGACTTGCGTCGCTTTTCTATACAGAGATGTTTCCTAATTATGTTGCAGATTGTTGCTTGGACCACGTGGCTGGCTCTAGCCACTGACCTTTGCGTTCAAGACGCCAAATTGTGATTACCATGACTAAAGTACGACTTATTGTAGGTCTCTTTCTGGGTGTTCCTGGGTCCCCAAGCTGATTCACATTCCTTTGTTTTCCAATGCCATTAAGTACAATAGATATCCCCTTCTTGGAAATTCTAAATCTCTGATTTGAACACATCTTTACATACCCTTCCCAAAAGCCATAATTTGGTTGGTGGCACTACCTACAGAACGCCAAGCAATGTCATAATGCGGCTGTAGCTGTCACGTGACGTGCTGATTTATTCATTCAAATAATTTCATTATAGTGCAATTAACCTTCTGTTTCCGGATTTTAGTTGATGGTTGTACTTACTCTGTGCTGTAACTATTTTTATTCAATTAAATTGAATTTTGTGTTATCCTCAGGTAACTTAAATCAGTCAAAAATGATCCCAGTTCATCCTAAGAACTGATTAATTGTTTTTTGTTTTTGAATTTCGCGCAAAGCTACACGAGAGCTATCTGCGCTAGCCGTCCCAAATTTAGCAGTGTAAGACTAGAGGGAAGGCAGCTAGTCATCACCACCCACCGCCAACTCTTGGGCTACTCTTTTACCAACGAATAGTGGGATTGACCGTCACATTATAATGCCCCCACGGCTGAAAGGGCGAGCATGTTTGCGAGTCGAGCGCCCTAACCACCTGGCCAACTGATTAATAAACCCTATGTTTCTTGCTCGTTCCGGCCTAACAAAACCGATTACGTGAGGAGACTGATAACTAAGTTCTTCACGTGAATTTAGCAATGATTTCTATTCTAGTTTCCTGGTGTTTTGTGAAACATACTTATTGGAGTATTAGAATAGACAATACATTATTATAGTAATTAATCACACATACACACACAAATCCAATAAAAAAAAATAACTAAATAATAACTCTGAACCCATACTCTCCAACCCAAAGAACCTGGCATGGTCCAGTGGCTGACGCACTTGAGTCGCAATCTGCTGGTCGTAGGTTCAAATCCCGTAACGGATCACCTTTCAGAGGTGGGAGCATTATAAAGTGCCGTTCAATTCCAGCTGAAGAGCTGACGTTAGGTGGTGTTGATTAGCTGCCTGTCTATCACTTCAAAATTAGGGATGGTTAGTACAGATAGGCCTCGTTTAGCTTTGAGCAAATTTCAAAACAAACCGAGTGGAACCTTCCCTCTTTCTATGGATGCAGGTATTGCCATCTATTGCTTTATTTAAATAACATTTAAGGAATATTCTACTTATCGGGACTACTTAATAAGTAACTATATTAATTAAGTTAAACTCAATTTTCTAATTAGCTAAAAATATCTCAATATTTTTTTTTTTACAAACTGAAGAACTCCTTTGACGTTTATATTTTAGTTTCATTTAATACATGATATGTTTGAAAGATTTTTGGTGTGGAACATGTTTCAAAATCCTACAACAAACAGACCGTAAGAATTCTGACAAAAATACTTGTTTATAAGGGAAGGCAGCTAGTCATCACCACCCACCGCCAACTCTTGGGCTACTCTTTTACCAACGAATAGTGGGATTGACCATCACATTATAATGCCCCCACGGCTGAAAGTGCGAGCATGTTTGGTGGGATGGGGATTCGAACCCGCGACCTGCAGATTGCGAATCAAGCGCCCTAACCACCTGGCCCTTCCTGACCTTGGAGTAAATTATTTTTCATATGTTTCTACACAACAACTCTCCAAATTATGTGCTAACTAGTTTATATTAAGTTTCAAAACTAACACTAACAGAAAAGTAACACTCTGGGACTGATGTAATTAGATTACTGACATTAATTAATTCTCATTTTTGTCAGCCAATCGGAAATGAGAATTAGGTACATAATGACAGAAACATACATACGTGTACACGAAACAGAAAGGCATAAGAATAAACTCTTTATACGATATACTCACAAACATAAGATTTTTGTTAAAACGAGGTCATGATTCTCAAGTTAATTGAAATTTACAATAATAAGTTACGCCAATTCCTAGAAGTAAATAAATTTACCTCTGTGACATAAAAACAAAATACAGTACGTCATTTCCTTTTAGATCCACTTGTTACAACTTAAAAACCTTATAATTTACAACTATCCAAACGTAACCCGCATAAATAAATATAGATATTCATTGTTTTATATAGTAATCTAGACCACTGCAATAGAATGGTCAAAAATTTGATGATATAACAACTATAAAAGACACTTCTTAAAGATATTCTATGTAATGAAGAGCTGTTAGTCATTTCTTTCATATGACTGTAAAACAACTTAAAATTGTTTCATAAATAACCTTGATTAATTTATATTAACCGTATCATACTTTGGGTCATCTAAGTCTAAAACCATCCCAGGAGTAGGAATGAATTGAAAATGTAACTAAAAATTATCATTAAAATAAAAAGATATAAGAATACAAGTGGCTCACTCTAACGGATTATGTTAAAACCTATTCTGGATGCCATATTGAATCCTCTATCATCACATAACATAAAACGATATTTAGGAACGTCATCTTCAAATTCAGCCATTTAATATCTATTCAAATTACCTGTAATTAATAGTGTTGATGGATCTTGTTCCCTCGGTAATGATATATGGATAATAATGTGCATGTACCTGTCAGCAGTCAGGGTGCCATCAACTTGGTGTAGATTTCCAACACCACTGAATGAGATGCAGCCCAGCATGCATAACTGTAGGTGTTGTATATTTATGAATTATGGCTTTAAAAATAAGTTTGATTTTGCTAATTAAATATAGGCCCATTATTTAGTGTGTTACTGAAATGTTTCACCACACTTTAAAACCAAAATTGGATCATCCTCTATTATTATTGATACGTCATAATGACCAACATAACTACCTCCTTAACTAAAAAAGAAGTGCTTAATTATTTTCTTTATTGTAATGTTTCACCAAAAACTTTTCCATATGACAGATCAGGTGTTGCCGGTTCTCATGTTTCACATCATACAATATGGGAGAGGATTTATATTTAATATCCATTTTTGTATTCATTGTTCCTTTAATTATTTCCAATACTGTCTACCTTCACGTATATAGAAAGAGAGAGAGAGAGACATGCATGTTTTATTTTTTTTTGCTTAGTATAAGGAATAACAGAAACTTCCTATGCTGGTCAAAAATCATATAATTGAGTGTAAAACTGTCAAGTGTTTCATATAGTGCTAGACCTAGTGCAGAAGAAAGACCAAAGAGAAAAAAAATATAACATACCAAATTGAAAATTAATTAAAAACTTAACCGCAGTGTCCTAGATTTTACTATATAAAATAAGTAATCTGTGTATATTGAAATTTTGTTTCGTGGTTTGATTTTTCTCGCATGTTTCTTCTTTAACAAAGTTCGGGTTTAAAGTTTTTCCCGTGAATATTTCGTATCTTGTAATAAATTGTTTTAATAAACTTTACCGAAGGATTTTGAAGCCACAGAAGGGCTTAATTTTTATTCTGTGTACATATAAAGTTAGCTCTTAATGTATTCTTTAATTCATAAATACAGTTTCAAAGTTTATGGCTTGTGTTCCTTTACAAAGTCAAATCACGTGTTTATGTTTTTCAAAAATTTCTGGTTTATAGATCTACCCATTGTTACTATGTAGAGCAGAAGTAAAAGTTAACCCAGTAAATTCGTTGGTCTAACCAAGTGTATGTAAGGTTACAAAACAAAAACTTGTAATGATTAAAATACACTTAATCTTTACATGAGTGCTGTTATTGACAATTTTTGGCCATAATGTTTAAAAAGCTGATGGGTCCATGTGGTCCCCACATTTAATTTATGGTTGATTCCTAGAAAATAATTTGTTTTTTCTTTTTTTTTTTCCAGGGGGCATTGGTTTGCCTCCATGGTTAGCAACTTCAGGATCAGTAGGAAGACTTGTGGCTAGAGCACTATCATGAGACCAGAATAACTTCCAGTTATTTTTAATGTTAGTATTTATGTACTTTGGCATACAATGCCGATAAAATGTTTGTTGTATTGTAACTGCTTCCTGTACACATTATTTCTAAACTATTTATACACCACATTATTGAGTTCAGAATTTTGTGGTTACGGGATCTGTAAACCCATAATTTTTTGTGCATTCTGCCAGAATTATTTTCGTGAAGTCGTAATAATTATTACCATAGCTTATAAAATATTCGGTCTATTTATAAAAAGTGGATAATAAAATTTTTTGGATTAGTTTTCAGCTAAAGAGACGTGCATGTATGTTATCGGACACTGTCGCCGTCTGATGGATAAATCAAGATTTATGGCTAGATGCTGGCAATGTCCGCTCGGGTTCAAGGAGTTAACAACATACAAGTCTCGCACAAAAACGTACGGTAAAATACCACAAATATTTTAATCAATCTCACTAATTACTACTATAGTTCCTTGCCTATATGCGTAGAAAGTGAGTGATTTCATCAAGGTGTGTTTGATTAGTTCTTTACAGGGTTTAAGGAGTTAACAACATACAAGTCTCGCACGAAAACGTAAGGTGAAATACCACAAATATTTTAATCAATCTCACTAATTACTACTATAGTTCCTTGCGTATATGCGTAGAAAGTGAGTGATTTCATCAAGGTGTGTTTGATTAGTTCTTTACACTGGATGTTATGAAAAGCTGTAATTTGAATGTTACAAGACTGAATATAATTTCAGCTTTTTTGGGGATTATTATATGAACAGGTATGGCTTGAATTTTCTACAAAGCTACAGAACGGCTATCTGCATTAGCCGTTCTTAATTTAGTAGCGACAGAATAGAGGGAAAACAGCTAATCAACACCACTCACTGCCAATTAGTGGGATTGACTGTCACATTATAATGCCTCTACAGCTAAAAGGGTGAGCATGTTTGGTGGGACAGGGATTCAAACCTGCAACTGCCACATTGTGAGTTGAGCATCCTAACCACCAGGCCATGCTAGCCCTTGTATAAAAAAAAAAAGTGTGTATATATATATAGTGTAAATAAACACATTAGCTACAGAATAACAGTAAATTTTACCTGAAACACCTGATGGAAGAGACAGTATAGAGCCCAGTGGGTACAACCATTCCTCGGGCAAGATGATGACCGGTACGTGTCGGTAATTCAGAAGCAGGTACACTATCGTGGCACTCTAACATGAAGAAGTATTCTAATAAGTTGTGGCATTTCAAAAAAATCACATACACGTTTACTTCTTCAGAATGATAAATAATAAACACACACACGTACAAACAAATATATCAATAGAAAAATCTGTGAAGTTTAACATAGGCCTAAAGGGCTGTGACGCTCAACTATGACTATAGGAGAATATAAGTTATATATCTGAAAGTATAAAGTAATATTATAACATTTGAAAAACGGGAAAATTACACGTACAGATTATAGCCACGGATAGGTTAGAGTGGGGAGCTGCATCCATGCACAAAAAGAAACAAGCAGAGGTTAATTACAATCTTTAAAAGCATACAGAAACAGGCTACACAGCCAAAAACGTTGTGTATGGTACTCCATTTCTTCTTACTTTACAGCTTGAATTTAACCTCTCATATACATGCATTGTTTTCTGTTCGAGCAGTTACGTACAAACGAGCAAAAAACATCTCGCTTCAAGCACAGGAAATGTAATACTTTATTTCTGGGTAACGGTTGTCCCCCAACATTACACTTGGGTGTTTACTGGTAATGATTTAAAATCTGTAAATTACAAACTAAGATGGTTGCCCTTTAAACTAACGATTGTTTTGCCATATTTTATAAATGAAATTTAGTTCAGAGGTGATGCAAAACAGCCATCCCTGAACCTGTTGAATTAATATTTCATCCCCCCCACTTACCTAATTAAGTATCCATTGTATTTATTGTTTAATCTTTGGCCATTTGTTATTCTTTACTGCTAACTAAAGAAGATATTTGAATAATTCTCATTTATACATCACAAGTGCAAAGTTTAAAAATTTCGTTTTTAGTAGAAACCCAGTCAACATTAAAAACCCAGTCAACATTACTTCTCTCTTAATCAGGATGCAAAGATGTAAGAGATACGGTAAACCGGAAATATTATAATGTTTATAAACCAATGATATGGGAATATAAACCACAGTCATGGCTACATACCATCCAGAAACAATGTGACTGTTGATTGGATGACCAAAATATTATAATGTTTATAAACCAATGATATGGGAATATAAACCATAGTCATGGCTATATTCCATCAAGAAACAATGTGACTGTTGATTGGATGACCGAAATATTATAATGTTTATAAACCAATGATATGGAAATATAAACCATAGTCATGGCTACATTCCATCCAGAAACAATGTGACTGTTGATTGGATGACCAAAATATTACAATGTTTATAAACCAATGATATGGGAATATAAACCATAGTCATGGTTACATTCCATCCAGAAACAATGTGACTATTGATTGGATGACCAAAATATTACAATGTTTATAAACCAATGATATGGGAATATAAACCATA